AGATGATAAATATACGTTTCTCCTGAAGATTGAAATTTGAAGACACACACGTGTGTTTAAGTCTTTCAACTGTTGCTCGTTTAGGTTTAGGTTTAGGTTTCGTGTGTGCGTCATGGCTAATATTGAATTTTCTTTAGTTATCTGTCCGCAACATATATCTTTGAAAAGTTCTGACCTTCTGATTATCGATCACGTACATTGTGTGAGTTATCGTTTATTATTTCTGCTCGCGCTCATTTTAGTCACGTATTTTATATATGTATGACAGATTTTTCGGGATGTGTGACGAAATAGTTGTACTATAAGTTGTGGTCGAAACTATTTGGGTTTCGTGCGAGGGCGGGAAAGAGAAAGGGAAGAGAAGTCCGGATAAAGCGTGCACACAGCGACGTCGACGCCGACCTAGCTCGTTGCTCGTTAATAGAGCCACCAATGACGCCACACAGCGGATATTAGAGATACGAGCAAAACTAGTTACACGAACGTTACTTCGCACGTGCACCGTGTGCAGTGCGAGGGAAGAAGAAAAAACGGAGAGTGAGAGAGAAAGAGAGAGAGGAGGAGGGAGGAAGAATGATGACGACAAGCCTTGACGAGGGAATTGCTAACCGGTGATCGGCGCGGCGATCACGGTAGAAAAATGATTTCTCGGTCACGCAACGTGAAATGTACACGTAACAAAGCTACAAAGTTAGCTGGGACAGAAGCTCCGCCTGTGTTCAATACATGTTTTCGTATATATATATATATACATATGTATATATATGTATATACGTGCACACGTATACACAGGGTGTCTCTCTTGTCCCATTTCGAACAACACTTTTCGGTCAATAAAGAGGCAATTAGCGAGAATTGAATAATGCCATTGTGTGTCGTGATGCGTAATTGTCAGCTTTGAATATCTACGACGATTAAAATTGCAAGTATATTAAAAAAGAAAGAAATCTATTTGAAAAATATCACAAATAATTCTTTTGTCCTTATTCATTCAAATTTAATATTGAACTTAAACGCGTTGTGGAATTGTTTATATCAAAGTTAACTTTGAATAATTTTGTAATCATAGTTAACTTCGAATAAGTATTGATCTTTTCATTACTGGTATACATTTTTATCGAGAAATCATTACTTCTCTGTAATAATCACAGGGTACGTATTATTCGGAACACTCGAGGGCGCCGTGTCGAATCATCTTGTGCAAAGTGAAATTAGGGTTCACTTCTAATTAAAGCAACATTGTTCGCGGCGAACGACGTCCGATGAAAGAGATACAAGCCAAACCCTTTTCTCTGTTTCCCGACAGTCTCCTCTCCGACCTACGTATGGCCTCGATAATAATAATTATGAAACTTGGCCGCGATAGTGAAAGTATCGCTTCGTACAGGACGTTTCATAACCCCAGACGCGAACGATGTCGAATTGGAGGCGAAAGCAAATCTCTCCCTCCCGGTCGTTTGTTTGTAACAAATCTCTTCTCTCGAAGATAGGTACCTATCAAAGTTTTCACGAAGAATCGTAGCTCGGAGAAATTAGTTTGTCTTGGCAAAAGTGAAATCAACGGCGAACTAGTCGGCGTTTACCGGTAAAAGCTATACACGATCGATATACATATATATATATATATATATAATATAAAAATATAAATATATATTTTATGTATATATACATATGTACATAAAAGAAACTTGAATTTAGAACTTTCGCATTTCTCAATTCCCCTTTTCCAAAATCATCATTCACAATAGACGTCTATTTATAAGAATCATGTATTTAATGGACGTATTATATAACAAGCAAATAGCTTTAAACAGTTAATGTTGTTTTTTGAACATTTTCATCTCTCGTTTAAAATTTTATCTATCTCGTTCCCTAGAACGTTTTTCGAATCTCGCGTTATCGACATTATGAACAATATCTCGTTGAGATTGTAAATAATAAAACAGTGAAAATTTCGCAAAGCTTACATGCGCGCACACATTGAGATCATTAGACTATTAGACAATAGACGAATGGCTTCCGCGCGCACAATAAAAACATTTTAATAAAACTAGGAGAAATCTCTCTTTCTCTCTCCTCGCGATCCAAGATGGATTTATGTGGCCGTAAATTTAGCGTCACCCACGCCACAATTTGTATACCGTATAAGCTAGGACATTTTGACAACTTTCACCCACGAGAGCAAATATATATATATAATTCCTTGTCAGCTTAAAAATCAACGAAACTACTCTCCCGAGCTACTATCACGAGAGCAATATGAAACAAAATGAACAAAGTGAAAACCGACGTGGATGCTCAATGTTCTTATCTAGATTATTATTCAAGCTTAATGGCGTGATATGTATATGGCGTGTATACGTACATATACGACATTTCATTCGACCGTTTATACTTTTAGTGACAAATAACATAATAACACGCCTTATATAACAAATGTAAGCTTCAACGAGTAACAAAATTTGTAGCAAGTGACAAAATTTACATTAAAAAAACGCCTACGTAACATCCACTTAAGAAAATTGTACAACTTTTTGTAAATATTTAGCAGATAAATTTTCTGCAAATGTTCTGCAAAAAATACAAGCACTGTGCTAGATTGCGCGTTAAAATATGCAGTGTTCCGCCATCTATCGCTCGTATTAAGAATTAATTTCTTGGCGATTTAAAGAGACAGGTAACAACTCTTACAAATTGACATAACAACGCTCTAACATTTAACAAAAATATATTTAAACAATAAACCTAAAAGAAGTAAAACCAAAATTAAAAAAGTAATTAAAGCGTAATTAAAACGTTTTATATAAAAAATACAAGTTTCTCTAATAACTTATACTTGCTACACTTTTGTTTTCTCACAATCATTCTTTTATCAAATATAACAATATAAAAAATAATTGCACATTACACTGTCCAACATAAAGAAATCTTGCAATATTATAATAGAACACGTCTTATCGTATTGTTTCGTGTTCTTTTTTGTGAGATAAATATAAATGTTATACAAAAACATTAAAAAGCAATATTTTAAAATGCCAATTAAAACAACATCAAACATAGAAATGTTGTAAACTATCAAGCTACAATTCTTATTGCTCCGCTTTGTTTCCTCAAAGCAGTAAAAAAAATAATGCACACAAATATATTGTGATCAGATACATTGGTTTTCAATTACACATGGCTGTGCACAATGTTTTTAAGTACAGTGTGTAAAAAATAATAAATATTGTCTACTACAACATATGAGGAAAAGAATACAGTAGAAAAGATCATATCAATCAAAACATACGTACAATAAATTACATGGATAAAATTGTTGGCTCAATTTATCATGACCAAACTGAACATTTGAACACTGCACATTGGTCTATAATTTGTAAGATTCAACACTTTAAATATTGCACAGTGTTTTGCTCTCTCAAAGAAAAAAATAACAAATTACTTACCCATACAAATAGTGTGACACAAACAGATTGATACCAGATTATAAATCACCATCTGTAACAAAAAAAAACAATGCGTAATATCTCCGTTGTAATTCAGTTAAATAAATGTTATGTATAAATTAAAATTTATATTTTCTGTAGATTCTCAGAATGTGAAAGAGAAGTAACAAAAGAGAGAAAACATAACCACTACGTTTTCACTAGTAATCCAACAAGCAAAAATTTCTTCTCGTTGAGTCAATTACGAATCAATGTTTCTTAGTTCACAGCAATATCACACAACACCGAGAGACAAGTTAAAAAGAAAAACATCTAAAAATATCGCAGTTGTTCGTTTACGCGTTGTTCCTCGTACATAAAATAGACGTCGGGAAAGTCGCCAATTCGATAACGATGCGTAAAGATTTGAGCAAAAACGTTTCTTACGTCGAATGTCGAATGTTTTCCGAATTATTTCGAAGGCGACATCGTGATTTTTACACAAAAAAAAAACACACACACGCCGCTACCTTATGACTCGGCGTGGCGTTTCTATCTCTGTCTCTCTGTATCTTTCTCTGTCTCTCTCCTTTCTCCTCTCTCTTTCTCTCTCTCGTTCTTCAACACAACTCAATCTGAAAGTCAAGGTTGTGCGCGCGCGTGCGACTTACCAGCGTAAGGTCAAAACGGTCAGACGAGGGACGCTTTGTTTACAACGTTGTGTCGACTGCCGAAGCCGGCCGGCGATAGGAATATCACGCAATTTATTGTTTATTATTCCCGTTCGAGTTCTGCGCGCACAGATTAAACGAAAACAGTCAAGAAAGCAACGGCGGACGAGCAATTTTTCCCGACGAACAATTTGAATCAACCGACAGACGAGAGACGGAACCGACCGTTAACGTCGAACGCGAGTTTCGAACTGCCTGCGATTATCGAAGCCGCGGTCGATGGAATAGATCGAATAACTTCGCGTCGCACCGCGCGACACGTAACCTAACACTGTCTCTCGACGCCGATCCGACCTTGGCTCTTCCCGACTCATCCGTCATTCCGTGATGACGACGTTCGCGTGCAGAAACAGCGTCTCGCCGATCGTTATCCGACCGCACGAAAACACATTTTCGCGCTCTGTGCACGATTTCGACGCGTGTAAAAAATATTTCATAATTAACAGACGGTCGCGCGCGCAATCAACGCTTTCGGTTTGATTCGCGCCAACTTCGCTGCGCTGCGCCGCGCCGCGCCGCGCTCGTTCTTTCGGCTGCACCGTGTTTGCACTTTTTCACACTTTTTACACTTGTGTAGCTACTCCATTCCGTATTAATTTTTCAATGCGATTGGTCAAAATCGAACGGAATAAGGCCTGTTCTACAATACAGTCGTAAGTCGTAAGTCGGAAGAAATTGACCAATCACAGACAAATTACAGAAGAATAATTGATTGTGATTGGTCAATTTCTTACGACTTACGGCTTACGACTGTATTGTAGAACAGGCCTAATTCATTGCGGCGCGATTACAAATCGCGACGCAATCAGTAAGACAAAAAAAACTTTCAAAAAAGTATGGCAATTTTTGTATTTTATTAATAAAATCATGAGTATGTATACAAACGATGTGTTAAGAAAACAGATATAAAAATACTTATGTGAATCACATTTTTTAACTGGATATTTACAAACACACACATATATTTTTTATTATCTCAATCTTACCACTACATAACTCATTAAACAACTTATGAGTCGTATTGCTCCAAGAACTTTTTAAGGAGACCATTGTCGAGTGGTATGGAAAGATATTCAGCCCCATCGATTGCGCGTTTACTTCGCACTGTGCGTACTAATTTGTGATCAATAAACTCGGTTAATTGCGTTCTTAACGCCAAATCGGAACTAACCAAGAACTGCTCGCGAGCTGCTCGATAAAGATCCTTAAACGGCATTCCTAATTTCGTGTAAAAGATATATATTACGTTATTGCTTTCGAACATTTCAAGAGTTAACTTATATAATATAAAATTATTAAGCGTTAATTACCTGCGAAATTATTACTATTATTGTTCAACTGATATTTTACGAGAATTAGATAAATCGCTCGAGCGTTTGTGGTGAGAGAGAGGAACACATTTTGGAGAGAAGACAAAGCAAATCCACCGCTTTGCTGAACCAACAAAGAACTCTCGTACGAAGTTTCCGCCTGATATGGTAAAAACGTTGTTGCGTCCCACCAGTAGAAATTAAACTTTGCGCGCTTTATGTGATCCCAAACTGAAAGAAATTAATAACATCAAATATCTTTTGTGTGTGTGTGCACATAAAGTTGAAAATAAAAAAATAGAAATAAAACTTACGAAGCGGCGCGTTAATGTGATCGACAGATGCTATTACGTGAATATTGGAAACAGCTGCCAGACTAGCAAGGGCATTTTGTGCTTTATTGGAACGCAACATGATCCCGTCTATATTATGAATTAATAAATAAAGCCGATCATTTGGATTGTTTCTTAAAGTCTTCTCGATAAGTTCTAGACAATCTTTAGGATTTGTTGGACAATCCAAGTCTAACAGATCCTCGATTATGTTAGTAAGTATCTGAAAAATATCACACATTCGTTAATTTACTATATAAATATTTCTTCTATTTAATAACATCATCATAGTATGTGATTTCACTCACATCTTTTATCGTCAAACTAGGAAAAAATCCGTTTATAATTAACGACGGATGATCCGCTATAACTTCGTTGTGAAAATCGTTAATTAAATTTCTTTTTGAGCCTATACCATGAAGAAGAAGACTATAACCTTCTCTGTAATTTAAAACAGTTTAGAATAGTGAAATATCGTCAAAGTTACTTTTAATGACCACATTACTCACTCCATTATAAATTGCCACATAGGAAAGCATGATCTACAGTTTTTTGTTAACAAACAAATACGTTTCTTGTGTATTGCAGAAACATGATTTTGATGTATCAACAATTCCTTCATCGTTTCCTTGGTAAGAGGAGCGTTCCGTAGTCTTCCCAATGTACGATCAGACGTAATTGTTTTTCCTGGTTGAGATTCGAAGTATTCATCAGTGTTTATGTGCTAGAAACATTAGACCATACAAATAGAATCACACGAAATATTGTTTAACATGTGTTACCAACAATCTTATTAATTAAAACTCACATAATCTTTGTAAGAGGTAGTTTTACGTCCTTTTACTACTATCTTTCTGGGTGTATTTGTTATTCCACGTTTTGGAGGCGATTTTTTTACAATTCCAATTTGTTTGCTTTTTTTCTTAGCATTATTTTCTTCTTCGCTTACATCAGAACTTTTGTTATTATCACTACTATGTGTTTTATCAGAATCCGAACTATCATCATCTGTTAGTACATATTCACTATCTTCTGATACACTTTCATCTCCACTTGAATCTATATTAGGCAAATATTGTCTCCGAGACGCTAACAAGAAGAAAAATTTAATTAAAGATATTTTTTTTTGTAACATAAAGAAATCAATGCAAAATAAATTATATTTTTTGGTGTATCACTATTATTCTTCACACATTTTATATTCTTCTTTGTTATATCTTCTAGAACAACTCTTAAAGGTGAAAGTGTTTTAAGACTCTTTGGAGTATCACTTTTTGGAGACACACGACATTGATTAGCCTTATTGATCATATTACTTTTCTTTGGCGTTTGAAATCCATATAGTTTACTTCCACTCACATCCTTATCAGAAAACAACTCTAAAAAATATTAAGACAAAATGTATAAATAGAAAAATTTAACTGATACTAATACTTTATCTAAAATCTTTGTTAAGTACCATGTGGTTTCTGTATGTCTTCTTTTATGCCTTCAAGCTTCTTCTCTACTTCAGATTTTGATATATCAGGTGCTGTAAAATATATAACATCTAAAGACTGTTTATACATATAATTATTGTGTATGTATGATGTGTACATAAAAAAAGTATAATAAATAAAAATAAATACTATAATTGTAAAACAAATCTGAGTATTAGAGACTAATAATTTTCACTAAGATATATCCTTACTATCAGATGCATCCTCCTCACTGTTTTCCGTATATTTAACAGAAGCTTTAATTCGTGCTGATCTTCGTAGATTTTTCGATGACATGTTGCAACTACACTGATACGAGAGGTTTCCTATGAACACAATTTTTTGGAATTGTTTCTGCTGCGTACTTAAATCAGAAACATGAATATCTCGACTTCTCTACAAGGATTCTCTTCATTATATGTGTATATAAGTGTGCACTTTAGCGCGCCATTTATGTTTATAAACTTGACTTTTAAACCTCCAGTTCGGTTATTATTGGCAATACTGTAAGTTTATGTATAGGTTTATGTCACGTATACTATAGATTTACGGTACTGTCAGTAATAACCAAACAGGGGATACAGAGATTACGCCATCTAGCGCATGTAACAAAATGTTTATTGTAAATGTGTTAGGTATGTACACGTTCCATTTGGCATTACCGTAACATGTCTGATGGAATTGGCCAATCGCATCAACCACTTTGATCAATTGATCAAAGTGATGTGAATTATATAAAATAACATACGTAAACTTTTTACTATAATTCTCGTGTTATATATATATTTAAACAAGAAACATTATTATATATATATATTTTATCCAAATTTGTTTATTTGATCAGATTAATTCTTTAAGCCGTACACGCCATTATAGTGGCTTCTCGCTAAGCAATTTTTTAGAACGAATAGCCACTATAGCTCTCTTCGCAATTTCACACTGAAAACCATACACAACGTTGTTGCAATACGAAAATGTTTTTACATTTTTACTTGTTTTACAGTTTTTTTACATTTGTCAAGTCGCATTTTACAGCAGAGCTGTCGATACAGCGGTACAACTGGCGGCTAGTTCAACAGCAAAAGAGTTAAACGTCAACCTTGATTGATCAATTCTGGCTAATACCGTTAAAAGTTAAAAGACTAATGCAATTGGTCGATTCCTATAACAAATTAATTGGTCGATCAAGTTAATCGGAGATGTCATATCTTTTAAAAAAGATCTCAAACAGAGATTATCTCTCTTAAAAAAGATCTAAATAAGAAATCATCTCTTAAAAGAAGTTTACAAATACAATAACATACATTCTCCAAAGACCATAGCAACTTAAAAACAATTCTTAATGTTCTTTTTCTAATTCTTATCTTTTTAAAACTTCAATTTATATTGATGGCAGTATATATTGCAGTATACTTAAGTATAAATATTTGTTTTTACTCTAATAAAATAGACTATCTATCAAGCATCATGCTTATATTACAATAATTCTTAATAATAATTCTCTCTAAATATTGTAATATAATTCTTAATTAATATTTATTATTGTAATAATTCTTATTAGATGTGATAAATAACTTTATGCATAAATGTCTATATATATAAAAATACATATTTTACAATTAATTCTGAGAACAAATATTTTAATTATCTATGTAGTTATTTTGGAACCTTGCATCAAACGCGCTCTTTACATTATATCACAAACTGCAGTTTATTATAATTTGAAAGAACTACGTTTTTTTGATTTTTTCTTACGTGATGACATATCATGTTTGTTAGCAACACTAATTGAGGCATGCCTTGGCTTTAAATTATATGGGAATTGTACATCAGAATTACTTCTAGATACTGGTTTTAATTCTAGTACTTCAGACAATTTTCTTCTTACTGACAATGTACCTACTGCATTAATATTTACTGTAAAAGAAATATTCAAGTTAATATGCATTTATGTAAAATATAGAAAAACATTAAAATAATTTGTGTAGTTTCAAATGAATAAGAAAAATTACCTGTTTTATATCCTTTTTCAGTATTGAAAACACATGTAACATTATGGTTTACATTATTGGCAACCGTACTATATCGTTCATCCTTGATCTTAATCTTGGATTTATCTTCTAAAGCAATTGTCTGACCGCAAAGTTCTTGCGGATCTATCTGTATAAAAATGATTGCATTCTTAACAGATTAACTAACATACAATAGAGAAACAATATAATACAATTTGATTACAACTTGCCAATTTAGGAAGATCCATAATCCAAATCTCTTCACTATCTGATATATCCTCCAGATTAAAGGTTGAAGATATATTTTTCTCTGTTAATGTTTCTTTTTTAATCAGTTCTTCAAGCTAAAACAATTATAGTAAATCACACTGTCTGCAATTATACAAATTATTTATTAATTTAAGAAGTCTGACACTATTTTCTCTTACAGTATTTGGTCCTGATGAAACCAAGGCAGATGATCTCTGAGATGTGTCGTTTGTTCTTTCAACACCACCGTTTGTCATCTGAACATCTCCATTGCTCTCACTGAATGAGTTTCCAGATTTTCTTAAGATACTTTTACGTGGTGATTTAATCGAACTCTTTGAACTCCTTGGTGGCGTCTTTGTATTTATTGTAATAGATTTTTTTCTGTGATTTTGAACCGGAGGATCCGTAACGTCTTCCATCGATACCATAGTCTCATTTAATTGTGTATTTAATTTCGTCACTGAATCTTTATCCGCAGAGTCTATTATCTTCGTCAAACTAGGCGCTTTCCAATATTTTATTCAATATTCAACATATTTCTAAACAAAGAGAGGGAGCAAGTCTGCACACATGGCGCGCATACGATGCAAAGTAGTGAGTACTTAAAGGTCTATTCTTACATAAGACGCAGACGCGGGTCGTAGGGTAGGTAGATAGCGGGTTTCGCGAAATTGACTAATCACGTTGGTCGGTCGGTCGATTTGATCAATGTGATTGGTCAATTCCGCGAGATGCGATCTGCGACCTGCATTTGCGTTTTTTATGTGTAGATAGGTCTTTTACGGCCGATTTCTTCATACCTTTCGATAGCTATCCTCTGGATAAATCGAGAACCAATAAAGAGAACCAATTTTGGGAGATATCTTCTATATAAAGTTATCGAAAACTTATCTAGAAGTGGAAAAAATTGGCTGTTAATCACATGACAGTGGCCGCCTTTGGAGACCGCGCTATCAGCGTCATTGCGTCATTCTATCTTTGTTTTACATCTAATGAGCGATAAAGATAGAATGACGGCAATAGCGTAGATAGCGCGTAGTTATGTGTACACACATTCAGGATTACGTTTCAAAATCTTACCTTCAGGGTTACTAAAATGCTAAATTTCATGTACTATATAGTTTTTGATTACCAAAGATAGGATTTTGGAACTCAGCCGAACAAAAAAGCTATTTTATAGCAATCGAACGTGATTGGTTCTTACTTTAAGAACCCAAAAATCACAACGACTCAATTGGGCAATCGTTCCATTGAGACCGACAGATCGCATTGGTCCGAATCACGACTGGTAACGCCTTGTAACTTGTTGTAACCGCCCGTTCAAAACATTGCGACACGCGCGACATCCGTTTGTGCGCACTTGCGGCCGCGCAATGAATCACGGAGATTCCGGGATAGTGGAACACCATAGAAAAATTTCCCAGTGAAGAGAGAGGAATTGTAGTGGAAGAGTTGTGTTGGCGAGTAAGTAAATAAAGAATCGTGAGAATTAATTCGATATTCTGTGTGGGAGCTATGTGCGCAACACGCTCGGGCGACGATTGTTAGCGAACGACAAATTGGCGATCACACGAAATTTTTCGGCGGATTCGCGAGAATCGCGATATTCTTTTCGCAATCCGTTTTGTCGATGGGACGTTTGTCGCGCGCACGATTAAGGTTAACGCGGACAGGTATATATGCGGAGGCTTTCAGGGCACTCGGAGCAACAACCCCTCTGGCGGACGAATCGCGGAATCTCGGATGACGTTCGTAGCTACGAAGTAATAATCGTTCTCGTCGACGTTGTCTCGTTGGTCCCGTTGTCGTCGTCGTCGTCGTCGTCGTCTCGCTATTGTTCGTCGTGTCAATCGCACGGGTAGATCGCGATCGCTTAATTGCGTTATAACACAAATAGAGATCTGAATCGCGACGCGTCGTTGCGCGTGTATATAATACAAAATATCGCCCTCGCGCGACCCTCTCGAGATTCCTCTACTTCAAAATCTTGGAGAGAACGTGTCGCGAGAGAAGCGCGCAGGTAGATGAGGAAGAGAGACACAAAACGAGAGATCGGCAACAAAGATCGAGAGACACGGCGAGAGGATCTTTTTCGAATGTGACAGAAAGAGATGGTGATAGCAGTCGGTGTTTCCATATACATATAGTGTGTAACTCCGTTCCGTCTCTTTTTCTCTGTTGCTGCGTCGACACCGTTCTTCACCCTCTCTACCCATCTCCACCCCTCCCTGCTGCCCTCTTAATATGTCCCACCTACTCGTTCGTCCTCTTTACGCCACCCCGTTCCTCTAGCCCCACCACCGCCGCCGCTACCACCACCGGCTCTCTCTCTCGCATTTTCCCCCTTGAAATTCGCGTCGTCGTGAAACGTCGCGAGAAACCGTCATCGTCCTTGCGTACTCGCGTACGCTCGCGGCTCCGCGGAGGCGCCGAGAGGCGGAATTTACGTGTCATGCCCCACCACGCTTACCATCCTCTGTGGATTTTCGCGTAGATCTCTATTATGGCGTAGCCGCGGCGAATCCTCTCACTCGCTCTCGTTTGACGTTTCTCGCGCTACCTCCGTGCCTGGGCCTCTCGCGGACGCCACCAACAGCTGTTTCGTCCGATCGTCGCCCTCTCCTTCTGTTCGCATATCGTACATAAAATAGAAACAGAGAGAGAGAGAGAGAGAAAGAGACGAGAGAAACGCGAGAGAAAGACAGAGTACGTGGGAGGAGAAAGAGAAAGAAAGAAAGAAAGAGTGGTGACCCTCCTCCCTCTGTAATATCCGTGCAAGGGATTTTTTTTCTTCCCCGTCGTTGACGACCTCGACGATCACGTACGCGGTGGGAACGAACTCTCGCCATCTCGATTCGTCTTGCAGGGCATTTACAGGGCGCACGCGAGGAGAGACGTCATCCGTTTGTTGTACATACATAAGGCGTCGTCGCACGGAATCTATTTCCACAGTGTGTAATTGCGCGAGAATTCTCCGGTACGTACGTCTCCTTTGTTCGCTGCTGCATCTCTCACTGCTCCTTTCTTTTTCACGCGCGACTCTCTTTCTCTTTCTCCCGATATGACAGCTCCTGTCAAAACGGAATTCGCAGTTGTGCGACTTGGTCGCGAACGATCGCTTCGTGATCTTTCGAAGGTCTGTTTGCAAGAGACAAGTCGGTTTTGGAAACATTTGTTTCTCCCTTCGTTATTCTCTCGGTTTCGAACGTGCGCGTTCGATTTAAACGAGAAAAGCGTAAGAGATCGCAGCTGATACAAACGTCAGATTTTCTTCACGTCCGTATTCTGCGTCGCGAAAGAAAGCACGACTTTTGTCCACGTTTACATTATGTTCGTTCATCGCAGAGCAACAGTTCGCGCAAAACGTTCAAAGTGGTCGTGCGATTTGTCGTCCACGCGAGAATCCGAAATGTCATTTGTGAACTGTATCGCGGATAATATTTTTTGACACAATTCACGACAAATTGAAATCGCGCCTTCTGTTACAAATATTTCGCGAAATTAGGCGCACCAGGCAGTGGTGTAAATTCGATTCGGCATTTAACAGGTTGCAAATGAATTGTTCTGTTTCAGATTGGAAAAAGGTAGCAACGTGTAAAATAAGTCGCAAGCACTGTCAATTACTTAAAATCTGGAAGGTTGACTTTGCATGTAAGTAAAAGTGTAATATTGAAATATATGTGATGTACAAAATTTAAGAAATTTAACTGTATTGTCTGAAATGTGTGTGTGTGCTTTTTGTTTTATTAAATAAATTCTTCTGTTTTTTTTTTTTAAATAGTTTAATTAGATATTTCTCACGAGAAATTATATATCTTTTGACTTTTTGATTTATTTGCAGACTTTGACATTTAGGTAAATATTTGTGATTTACTTGTCTTGTGATATTCACGGGATTAGCAACAAAGATGTCAGTATTGAATCAAAGCGGCGAGGATGCAGTGGAATGTCCTCTGTGTATGGAACCGTTGGAAGTGGATGACTTGAATTTCTTCCCCTGCACTTGCGGATATCAAATATGCCGTTTTTGTTGGCACAGAATTCGTACTGATGAAAACGGTTTGTGTCCTGCATGTCGGAAGGCCTATTCTGAAAATCCGGCTGATTTTAAACCCCTTACTAAGGAAGAAATAGCAAGGTGCCAATTTTTTTTGAAAAAATAATTTATTCTTCAAGTTAAGATTTATATTACAGTATAATTCAACACTGCAAATTATTTATTAGAAAACAGTATTTTTTTTTCTACTCTATTGTTTTTTTTTTATTTTTTTATTTTTTTTTTTATTTTAGATTAAAAGCTGAGAAAAGGTTAAAGGATCAACAACGGAAACAGCGAGTTACAGAAAATCGGAAACATCTAGCAAACGTGAGAGTAGTACAAAAAAATTTAGTGTTTGTAGTAGGATTACCAATGCGACTTGCAGATGCGGACGTGAGTATGCTGAATAAGAAAATGTAGTAATACACAAATGTGCAAAAAATTTTAAAAATTCTCTGTAAACAATACACCACCAAGATACTTTATAAATATCGACTCCTAAAAAATTAAGAGATCGATAATACTTTGCATGCTTTAGGTTTTAAAGAAACACGAATATTTTGGAAAATTTGGGAAGATACACAAAGTCGTAATTAACCAGAGTACTTCCTATGCAGGGTCTCAAGGCCCCAGTGCTTCGGCTTATGTTACTTATCAAGTGAGTGAGTCACAAGATTATATTAGTTTTTTGAACAACAAATTTTTATTATTTTATTTTGTAGATATTCATGAATTATAGATAACACGTTATCTATTCTTTTACAGCGTCAAGAGGATGCTTTACGTGCTATAGAGGCTGTGAATAACATTGTTGTGGACGGACGGACAATAAAAACATCATTGGGAACGACGAAGTACTGTTCTCACTTTATGCGAAACCAACCTTGTCCGAAGCCGGATTGCATGTACCTTCATGATCTTGGGGACCAGGAGGCGTCGTTTACGAAAGAGGAGATGCATCAGGGAAAACATCAGGAGTATGAGCGCAAACTTGTGCAATCGTTACATGCGCATGCATCTTCAGTGCAACGGTATGATGTATAAGTTTAATTAATGTTTTTTAGTAATAATGACAATTTCTCTAGATTTTTATGCATGTAGGTAGTTTCATTTTTCTGATAACACACACAGGAAACCAACACCATCACCTCCTGTAACAGGCAGTATTGTTAGAGAAAGCGGAACTATAACTTCACAAACTAAAGAAGCGTGGCCTTCGTTGCAACCGGGACAAACAAATAGTAAGTCTGATATTTAAGTATTGAAACATTGAAACATAAGTGGATATTAATAATAAAGACAATCCAAAAAAAATGAAAAATTCCTTTTTCCTTGATTTTGTAGAATATTAATTTATTATTGTATATTATTACTACGTTAATATAATTGTTAATATTA